GCTTTCTGTAATGCAGCTTCTTCTCTTCAGAACCTCTCATGTATCTCAAGACCCACTTGACAGCTTCCCAATGTGTTTTCAAAGGCCTGCTCATAAAGCGACTAATCACTCCCACAGGAAAAGCAAGATCTGGTCGAGTGCCTATCATTGAATACATGATACTACCAACTGCATTTGAGTATGGAACAATCTTCATTCTGTGCTTCTGTTCTTCATACTCCTTATCAGTAGCTGCTGCAAGCTTAAACTGCACTCCCATTGGAGTATTCACAGATTTAGCTTTATCCATGTGAAAAGTTTTCAAAACCTTGTTCACATAACCTTCCTGAGATAAAGTTAACACACCAGCAACTCTATCTCTAGTGATCTCCATGCCTAAAATCTTTTTAGCATCACCTAGATCCTTCATCTCAAATTCTTTGCTCAGCATCTTCTTAAGATCACTAACATGTGACTTATTAACTGAAGCAATCAGCATATCATCCACGTATAACAACAGATACACATATGCCTTATCCTCATACTTCTTAAAGTATACGCAACTATCATAAGCACTCCTCAGGAAACCAATTCCAATCATAAACTCATCAAATCTCTTATTCCATTGCCTAGGAGACTGCTTAAGACCATAAAGAGATCTCTTAAGTAGACATACCTTCTCTGGATATTTCTGGTCTACAAAACCCTCAGGCTGAGCCATATAGATTTCTTCTTCTAGGAAGCCATGAAGAAATGCTGTCTTCACATCCATTTGTTGCAATTCCATGTTGAAATGTGCTACCATGGACAAAATGTACCTGATAGACACATGTTTAACAACAGGTGAGAAAATCTCTGTATAATCAATACCCTCTCTCTGAGTAAAACCCTTTGCAACAAGTCTGGCTTTGTATCTAGGTGCTTCAACTCCAGGAATACCAGCCTTTCTTGTGAAAATCCATCTGCACCCTACTAGCTTCATAGTCTTATCCTTATCAGCCAAATCCCAAGTATGATTTTTCTCCATAGAAGCCATTTCTTCTTTCATAGCTTCATTCCACTTTTCCCAATCAGCATCCAATAGAGCCTCTTGATATGATTTTGGTTCTGTCTTTTCACCATCTTCTGAATAGCATGCATAACCAACCAAATTTGACTCATTATACTTTGGATTTATCTTGATAGTCCTTTTAGCTCTATCCCGAATCAACTGATAATCACTAAGGTCTTCTTCTTCTTCAGACCCTGATTCATCATTCTCTATTTCTTGTTGTTCACTAGATGAACTCTCAGCAGCATTCGTGGGTGTATTCGTTCCTTCTTGAATATCCTTCTCTTGAATAACTCCACCTTGATCTGTAACTCGATGATCATTATCACTTGAACTTGCTCCAGTTCTCTCAAGATCAATCTCAAATACACCAACTGGTGTTCCATTCTTCAGATCTTTATACATGATGTCTTCTCGAAAGACAACATTCCTACTGATCACACACTTGCCTTCATCCAATAACCAGACTTTGTATCCTTTTACTCCCTCAGGATAACTTGTGAAAATACCCTTCTTAGCTCTGGGATTAAGCTTGCCTTGATCCGCATGCACATATGCTAAGCAACCAAATCTTCTTAGTAGACTCAAATCCGGTACAGCTGAGGTCCATCTTTCTTCAGGTAAATCAAACTCAATTGCTGTTGAAGGTGATCTGTTTATTAAGAACACAGCTGTAGATACAGCCTCAGCCCAAAACTTCTTTTCCATACCACTCTCACTCAGCATACTTCTTACCTTCTCCATTATAGTTCTATTTAACCTCTCAGCTACACCATTTTGTTGAGGAGTGTATGCACAAGTCTTATGCCTTACAATACCTTCAGCTTTACAGAAACTCTCAAACTGA